AGAAATGATTTACAAATATCCTCGCAGATAAATTCCCACAAACTATTTTGTTTTACAAGAGTAAAGGAATAATTGCCTATGATTGAAAAGCTGAATGCACTAAACTAAACGAGGGAACTTCACGTTGTTTTATGCATGCGTGTACTTTTCCAGCAGTCAGCGAATGTGTCCCGTTGTTACTACTGATAATATTCGTTTGTTTACATATCTCTGTTGGTATGTTTTATGTGTTGCATAATTTACGTTAAAATCGAGAAGCTATTTGCGTGTGGGTACTAAATAATTATACGAAATTTGCTGTAATCAGTTTGTGTGAGTAATTATCATTGCACAAACACGTGGTCAAAGTTTTACGTAGGTATCTCCATGAGATCGCTAAAAAAAGCATAGCACGATGAAAAAGACGCTAAACTTGACGAAAACAAAATTTTATCGTCTAAATGTTCATGTTATTATTAAGAGGAAAGATCAAAGTATTTTGGGGATATTTTTTCCGTTTTCTAATCGTTCCGAGCACGTCCTTAATTTTCGTTAAGAATCTTCTTTTTTTTTTTTGAGTCAGCAAAATTGACAGATAATCGATTATGACATCCATTTTTTTCCATTTTATAAAAAAGATGAAAATCTCATTTTCAAATTCTTTTAAAAATCAATTTTTCAAAACTTATTTTAAGAAAATCAGAAATTATAATGTTTGTTTAAAATATTTCGAACCAAGGTTGACTTAGCTTCTGCGCCGAAAAGATGTAATTTGAAAATGAAACAAAGCAGGTCATAAACTTTTGCGTCACTTGACAGGTGACGTATTGACAGATTACGTGATCATAATTTGTTCTACTGAATGCGAAAAATGCATTTATTTAGATTTAAGTGAACAAATTATTTACCTCGTTATTTTTAAGGAAAACTTTCAGCGGTCTATTTTTTTGTACTTAGCTTTCACCTTTACGTTTACGATGCTTTATGAAAAATATATTATAAAGAAATTAAAATAAGACTGTTAAGAGTGAGATTAAATATCATATTTCATAAGAAAGGTATCTAATTAATTTATAGGTACCTTTCTTATGTAATTTTATCAGAAGTGAACATAAAATACTATAATTTTATGTACATTTATTACATTTTATTGTGTCATTTGTATTTCCATTCATTTTATTATTAATTTTGATATTTCATTTATGGAAAAATGTCATAACTGAGATTAATATAAAAATAAGATCATATAAATTTCATAAGATGATACTGATACTTGTAGGTACCCTTCTCAGTTGAAATTGAAAAATCAAATTAACTTTTTCACACGTATTTCGCAAAAGTAAAGGCCTTAACAGCGGAGAACAATGCTTAACTCAAATAAGGCAACTTAATTGTATTCTGGTTGGTCTTCCATACTTTATAATTACAGCCCGATTATAAACACAAAATTTTTTGCTTTTAGAAAATATTGTCCATATTCATAAAAACAACTAAAAGCAAATAAAAGCATTTGAAATTAAATATTAGGTTGGTGCAAAAATAATGACGTAATAATGTCGTTTTTTGACGTATTTTTAACGTCAAAAACGACATTATTACGTCATTATTTTTGCACCAACCTAATAATATATTTGCTTTATTGAGTTTTGCATTTTACAATTCACAGCTGATTTTCAGGTAGGGGGGTCCAATAAAAAACAAAAAAAAAACATGATTAGGCATTCCTCAAAACTTCGTGCTTTTAACTATTGTAATCACTAAATCCGATGCGATCGAATTTTTCGCGTTTTCATAAAATTAGTTATGGTGTGGGGGGTAATAAATATAATAAATTAATTCTGCCATGACTTAAAAAAAACATATTTGTAATAATCTCGATCATCTGTGAATAGTTTCTGAAAGTTTCATTAACATCCGACAATTATTTTTCATTTTTGCAAGATTTTACAAATTAATGTGTTATACAAAAAAAAGATGTTTTTTTTTAATCAAAATTTAGAATGTTCTAAAAAGAAAGAAAAATTAAAAAAATAATTAAAATAAACTTTGATCTTTCCTCTTAATAGTAATATAAACATTTAGACGATAAAATTTTGTTTTTGTCAAATTTGGCGTCTTTTTCATCATGCTATGCTGTTTTTTAGCGATCTCATGGAGGTACCTACGTAAAACTAATTTTGTGAATTTGCGCGAATATATTCATAAGAAAATATAGTATCAAGGAAGCTAAATGTTAGAATTAATAAACTCAGAAATTTATTGGTTGATATATATATTTTCCCAACTTTTAAATAGCTATATTTAGGAAGGAAATTATTGTTAAGTATTTAAGTATTTTCCGAAGTAATCCTCCAAATTTCGTAGCAGACAACTAAAATTTTTCAAAGATGGCATGGCGTTTTGGATAGCGTCACTGATTGGTTAATGCTAATGTGGAAATTGGAACGTGGAAATTCGCACAAAAATGTGTCGATTTCTTTGTGAGCCGATCTTGGTACAGAACTGAGATTTTTAGTGATATTACTTGAAGCTATTCAATTTTTTACATTTGTTAAATATACATAACCGAATGGGGAAATATAAGAAGGTATACTAGCGAGCGATCGTCTACAAATACATATAAATACTTTATAGTGTAAGAAAAAAAAGCGATCAATGTTAAGTAACATAGCTATTTAATATAGTGATTTTCTAAACCGGGCTTAGATGTGGCACAAGGGGTAACGAGTGAGTATAGAACTCACAACTCAAATAATGATCTGCTGCTACAATACACTATCTATCTATCTATCTATCTATCTATCTATCTATCTATCTATATATATATATATATATATATAAAAAAATTGTCGGACTTTGTCCATTTCATAATATATGACATCATTTGTTTACATTTGATACGCCAGAGCAGTTATGAATGTACGAGATTCATAGAAGATTGAAGTTTATAAGCAGTAAATTCGACCTTGCCTACCGAACGCTCCTTTGTGGCCGAGACGGTTAAGGCACATCAGCGTAAATGACGGTTCCATATATATATATATATATTAAGAAATATACATAATATCTTGCATTAACATTTATATATATATATATATATATATATATATATTATGAAATGGACAAAGTCTGACAATTATTATAAGATATTTTTATGTTTATACATTCTTTTTTTTATAGATACAAACAGTATTAACACATTTACCGGCCTGAATGTCCGGTAAATGTTGTTAATACTCTTTATTATAAACAGAGCATTTACTTAAATATTTGTATCCATAAGAAAAGAATGCATAATCAAAAAATGTCTTAACATATATATATATATATATATATATATATATAGATAGATAGATAGATAGTGTATTGTAGCAGCAGATCATTATTTAAACATATATTAAGCATTCCCTGGAACACCGATATTACATAATAGTCCAGTAATTTATTTTCTTTCTTCTAACGATGTTTTTCTATTGCTTAACATTAGGCCTAATTTTTGGTAGGCTTCTTTCGTTATTGTAATACGTTTTTGGGTATCGGTGTCGCATTTTCCACACTATGTTAGATATGTAAACTAAGTTTGTTTTTATGTATTTTCTTCAGAAACGGAATTGTTTTCGATCTCGCTAATATAAAAATAAATATTCTTTTGAAATTGAATTTATTTTTCTTACATACTCCTTGCAAAAATGGATAAACGTAAGGATACGGAAAAAATCAGAAATTAATTAAATCTTCCTTGTCTGCCATATTTAATGAAGATGTTTAAAAGAAAGTTGGTACGCAAACATATATATATATATATATATATATATATATATATATATATATTAAAGAAAAAACAGACCACTTTAAGGCTCCATTGCAATAGTTTATTTCACCAGAGACCTTTTAAAGGACGCTGGATTATCAGACATCACTTTCAAAATGTGAAACGAAAAATGAAATGAAATTTACACTTTTGACGGGTAGTATTAAATTTATGTAATCTAACAGAGAGGGTAGCGAGGAGTGGTGTGAGAGACATGGTCGAATTTAGAGAGGGTTTATTTTAATATTTTATCCTATCATACTTAGTATTGAGTAAGAAGAGATCAAACATTGACATACTTAATCGGTTAACTTAACGGAAATGATATGTAGAAAGGAAAGGAGAGAAGAAGAGAAAAAAGAAAAAACAAAGAAGGGGGAAGTAAAAAGAAAGAAGATGTATTTAGAGTTTATGGAGTTAGAAGAGGGGTGGTATAGTTTTAGAAATTTAGGTAAAAAGACAGATTTTAACGTTTGATAATAATTTAAATGTTTAAAAAATTCCACGAAGAAATTAATTTGATGCTTGCTAGCAATTTAAATATTTAACTCTTTTACAAATAATTTAGGGGTTTAATATGAGTTAAATAATATATTTAAAAACATATTAATAAAAACATTAAAAATATCTAAAATATAAATGTTTACTGATAGTAAGCTTTTAATATTGTAAATGACTGTTAAGGTAACATGTTTATCAGTTTGAGTCCAATTCATGAATGTAATTTGTAACTATTTTTAGATGGGTAAATTTTCTTACTTAAAGTTTAGGTTTCCAATTAAGATGGAGTAATATTTGAAGGTAATATTAAAAAAATGTTTTTTCATATACATACCATATATACACTTATGTAAATCTCACATATACATAAGTTCATTTACATGTGCAATTACACACATAGACACACACATATGTATCGATATACACAGCTACCTATGCATATTCATAGATAATTACTTACACATATATTTACAAATATTTACACATATTTATATTTATATTTATTTAAATTTTTCTTTAAATTTCAGTTAATTTTTAACGTTAGGTGGTGACTTAAGTGTTTAAATATAAAAAAAAAACTTTCTAATTTTAATACTTTTACTGTCAAGACTGACAGTTAAAGAGTAATATATTTAAATTTAAATTAAATTACCAATTTAAAATGAAATTACCTCCAGATGATTAAAAATTTCAATTTCATAATTGTAATTAGAGAATATTTAAAGAGAAAATAAGATTGAATGTCCTTCCATTAGAATACTCTCTCTCTCTCTCTCTATATATATATATATATATATATATATATATATAAGACAGATCTATACCCATTTATACCTATATATGCATATGTATTCATATTACTATATCCTACATATATTCACACATATTACATATACGAACTCACAAATACTTACATTTATATATATATATATATATATATATATATACCACACATGAAATCCTATATACATGACACGATATATATATATATATATATATAAATACCTACATTAACTTACAAACACACATATACACACACACATACACACACACACACATATATATATATATATATATATTTACATATGCGCCTACAATACATATATGCATACATATGTATATATATACACCTTTATACAAATGCATATACATATTCACATAAAAGCACATATCAATGTCCAAGTCCATCTACACATTTGTTACATACAATTATGTATCCGCATCCATGTGTGCATACAATCATTTCCAAATACAAAAATAACACAATATTTTCCTTTCTATATAGTCTTTTTCTAAATATATTTAGTTAGATTGAGGTGGTTTCCATGTCTACATTTAAAAATTAACTCGTTATGTTGGTTCAGTAATATATCCGGATCATTATGCTTTTATAATAGTAGGATTTTGTTAATCGTTCTAATGTTTTTGATCATCTATGATTTTCGAATGTTATATAATTATTCTTATAACTTTATCAAAATAAGTTTATTGATCTTTATATTTTGGAATTATATAATTTACCTTGATATCCTTATTTTTCCTTGATAAAAAGTTTTTTGAAGCTTTAAAATAAAAAGTTATTTCATATTTTGACTTTTTCTTAACATCGTTCTGATCTTTATGCTCGCTACTGTATATATATATATATATATATATATATATATATATATATACAGAGAGAGAGAGAGAGAGAGTTTTAAGGTGTGCTATATTTATGGGATAAAGTGCTGAATATCAGAGATAGAGCGTATGTAAATATAAATATAAAAGTGGACATTGAAGCCAACACTCAGAGGCGACAGGCTGTTTCATGTTAGTGCAATCGTCAGGCCGCCTGACGATTGCGCTTAGCATGAAACAACATATATATATATATATATATATATATATATATATATATATATGTGTGTGTGTGTGTGTGTATATATATATATATATATCAATATATATATGTATATATATATATATATGCAAGAGAGAGAATAAGATGATTATATATAAATATATATATATATATATATATATATATATATAGAGAGAGAGAGAGAGAGAGAGAGAGAGACAGACAGACAGACAGAGATAGATACATATATATATATATAGAGAAAGTATTTTTGGATAAAATGTAAAAAAAGCTATTGACTAATAGTATTAGGTTGCTATCTATATATCTTTCTATCTATCTACCAGTGTGTGTGGCTATATGTATGGATTTGTGTGTCTGTGTGTGTGTACATAAAGAAAAGACGAATATGGCATTTAAATCGGGAATATTTGATTCGGAAACGAAATGGGACTGATGGTGTTTTTATTGTTTTTGTTATCGTTTCCAACTTTAGAAATCGATATGAGAAGTATTAGGATAAAACCCGCCGATAATCAGCCGGCAGAATCTACTCCTTGTTATCTAACTTGGAGTCATGAAAGCTACTCGGAGCCAATGTTATCTCTAATTATAGCCAATTCCATTCATTTTTAGTTTGCGTTCTTCATTTCTTTCTTCAACTGCTTGCATCATTTCCACCCACCATTATTTAAACTCTAAATCTACGCATTTTCCTTTTCCTTTCCCATCCAAACGTCTTAATATGCCCAGATCTATCTATCTATCTATCTATCTATCTATCTATCTATCTATCTATCTATCTATTCTCAGTCTTTATTTATTTATTTATTTATTTATTTATTTATTTATCTATCTCTCTATCTTAATAAGTACACCTCTATCTATTTGTCTTTCTGTCTGTCAATATTTATTTTCTGTCTTAATATGCTCAGATCTATCTATCTATCTATCTATCTATCTATCTATCTATCTATCTATCTATCTCAGTCTGTCCATTTCAATCAATCTAGCTGTCTGTCTGACTATCTATATCTCTCTTCTCTATATTTTCCTGTATCTTAACATTCATCTATCTATCTATCTATCTATCTATCTATCTATCTATCTATCCTCAGTCTTTATTTATTTATCTATCTCTCTATCTATATCTATCTCTCTATATTATAATACACACATCTATCTATCTATCTATCTATCTATCTATCTATCTATCTATCTATCTATCAATCGAGCTGTCTGTTTGACTATATCTCTCTTTATCTATTTTCCAATATATTCCTCTATCTTAACATACTTCTATCTATCTATCTATCTATCTATCTATCTATCTATCTATCTATCTATCTATCTATCTATCTCTTAATACGCTCACATCTATCTATATATATATAAACCTGCCAATCTCTGTCTTTCCTCTCTCTCTCTCTCTCTCTCTCTCTATATATATATATATATATATATATATATATATATATATATATTCGGTCACTTTTCCTACCCCAATATAAAGCATGCTTAAGAGAAATACGAAATTAACCCCTCCCTATACTCTACCTTGTCTCTTTAACTACAATTCTCACCCCCCCTTGTTAAATTACAAAAATTACACTAGCCATCAATTTCTAATCCCATTTTTCCTTTCATTTCGTTGTTGGAATTGTTACCTGATGATCCGGAGTCCATTAAAAAGGATTTTGGTGAAATAAATTATTGTAATGGTACCTTAAAGTGGTCTGTTTTTCATTAAATATTAGCTCTGTATTCACATTGAGCTCTCAGGATTTCATCCTCCTTGGAATTACCCATTCGGTTTACCAAGTAACAATATATATATATATATATATATATATATGTGTGTGTGTGTGTGTGTGTGTGTGTATACATGTGTGACAGGTCTATTTTAGTTCATATAATGTGTACGTTATTGTGACATTTTACTTTTTCCGTTTATTTTTGTTTGTACATCGTATGCTTTCATTCATTTCTACGCTGTTCAACCCGTTTCTTGCAACTTTATTTCCAATTCTTTTTCGTTTCTTGAATTTTCATCTTTTTTTCTTTCTTTCTTTCTTTCTTTCTTTCTTTCTTTTGTCCTTTGATTTTCTATGAATGTAAGCGCACTTTGCTCGAGAGGCGACTAGACCCTATCAGTAAATAAAATTGAAAGAAGTAGATGTAACCGCAAGTTCTATGCAAACATTTTCTTCTCTCGCACTTATCCCTTGTGGAACTCACTGCCGGCTTTTTCTTTTCCGGTATAACTTGGATATTCAAAAATTTAAAGGCAATGTCAATCGTTACCTTTTGTCTTCATAATTTTCATTCTTTTATCGTTCTCGTTCCTTAATAATGTCTTTCCTTCACACTCAGTAACTTCCTGCGTGTTAGTGGCTTTGTTGCCTTATTTGATTAAGAAAAGTCTTTCTTGTTTTTCTTCGTTTTTTCCTTCGATATTTTGCTATTTTTTCTTTCATTTCCTCTTTTGGTTAAGTCTTCTTATCTCATATTTTTATTTCTTTTTTAAGACATAAAAAAATGTATTTAAGTATTTGTAAGGCGTGAATGCCACTAATACGCAAAGGGGCTACAGAGATTGTAAGGAAGAAAGACTGGATATAGGGGATGGGCTTGAAAGAAAGGATAAAAAGAAGAACGGAGATCAAGCCAACAAAAGATGTCGATTGACATTACATTTAAACTTTTGGAGATTATTGTTATCAGGGAAGTAAGTAAGAGGAAGTGTTTTGAAAAGAAACTGTTGGGGTAGAAGAGGCAGTTACATTTGACTATTTCGATATTTAAAAGGTGGGATCGAGATGACGACCTAGTAGCACGCTTAAATTCGTGCATATCGGGGCACCAGTGAAAATAGCTCGTCAGAGCAGATGCCATGAAAATCTTTCTAGAAAAAGACAGTGGGAAGCCGCATTACGTCGGTGAGAAAGTGACTGGAGTCGAGAGCCCAAGACTGGACCTGATCGCATTGCATATCCGTCTTTGGATTTCGTCGGGAATCTCGAGATGAACAGCGCTTATATCAGCGGACCAGATATGACAACAGTATCCAATGCATCGACGAATGGTAGATTTGTAGATGTAAAGGATGGTCTAAGACGAGAAAGACCTTCTGGCGCGACACAGAGAACCAACTTTCCTTGCAATAGATGCAGCTATTGATTCAATGTAGTTGTTCCACCTCAGGTCAGTGGTAAACGCGAGACCAAGCAGCCGCAGTGAGGCGCTCTCGTAGAGTTGAGAATATACCATGCTGATAGGAGGCAGAGAAGTTTCACTATGGTGCTTAAATGACAGCAGTTTCGTTTTGGATGTATTAAAATTCCCAAGCCATTTCCTGCCCCAGTCAACCACAGAGTGGGGCCCATATTCAAGATATATATATATATATATATATATGTGTGTGTGTGTGTGTGTGTGTGTGTGTGTGTGTGTGTAAAATATATAGAAAATAGGAAAGAACTCGTTAGGTAAATAATCCAAAGTTCCTTAGTATTTTTGTTATTATTTTTAAAAAATAGTGCTCGATACAAAAGTAAAGCATAAATATAATTATTTATTTTAAAATATGATTCCAACGCTACATAAGAGCTCTCATGTTTCAAAAAAATATATATAATACAGTTCAAAGTTTGTGGTCATCTCTGGTAATTTTTTAAATTGACCTAAAATGTAGTTGTTTGGTACTTGAAATAAGAGAAAAATATTGTACATGGTTAAAAAAATGTGAAATATGATTTTTTTTAGAAATATTATTCTAGCAGAATCAATCTATCTCTTATGTGTATTTGCATTTAAATAAATCTCATTCATTTTTTCACTCAACACAAACACACACATACATATATATATATATATATATATATATATATATATATATATATATATATATATATATATATATATGTGTGTGTGTGTGTGTGTGTGTGTGTGTGTGATGTGATAGATAGATAGATAGATAGATAGATAGATAGATAGATAGATAGATAGATAGGTGTGATAAAAGGCATCGACCCGAAAGAACGCGATTTAAAATTTAAAAAACGGAAGTTCTCAGCCTGGCCCCCAAAATTTCAAATTTTAAAATCAAACCTGTTGTTCATTAGTTTTGTCAGGTTTTAATGAGATGGGTATACTCTCTAAATTCTTGAGCATCTTCCGTTATATAATTTATTATACTAAGGAAAGATTATTATACTAAGCAAAATGATTATGACATTATACAATTTGTATAAGTCCATGAATGAAATAGGAATACATACCTTGATCTTTTCTTTATAAGTAAAACATAGATATATTTATTTCATATATATATATATATACATATATATATCAACTTGAAATATTCCATACCGTATCTCATTTAAGCCATATTGCCTAATTCTGAAAAAAAAACCACCAAAAAACAATGTCCAATTTATATATATATGTGTGTGTGTATGTGTGTGTATTTAGAAGCAATAATACATTATCGTCCAGGTGACCTTGAGCTTTAAAGAATTAAGAATCTTAAATGATGAGTTCAGAATTTTATCGCTTTTTATATATTTCTAACTTTATCGAATTTAACGAAGCTTGTTTGCAAGTTTTACATAAATGCCAGTTACTTGCCGAAAAAATGAATATTAATTGAACAATATATATATGTGTGTGTGTGTTTGTGTGTGTATGTGTGTGTATGAAGGCCGCATATAAAATATAACATATATCTCTCTTGAAGGAATAAACGAATGAATAAATTGAATGCTTAAATATTCGTCTGCCTTGAAACAAGATGGCAAACTGATTATAAAATAGATTGCTGGATAGGTAGGTTCAATCCTAACCCGTGTACCCTATTTTTAACTGAGCTAGAAGCAGCTATGTTTCATAACAATCTTCATACCGTCTAACGGTCCACTGATGTGATTTCAAATCTCATTCTTCCCCATTTTACAGTGTGTTTGCTTCTGGGATCGGATAATAGAGCACCACAAATGAAGAAAGGCTCATGTTTTATAGATTGCGCAAAAGCATTGTGGGGAGGTACAGTAAGAAGATCTATTTGAACTTTTAGGAAATCTAGATATACTTTGCATGGATGTTAGAATAATTCAGAACTTATACAAACAGCCTGCACCCAGACAGAAAACTATTTGAGTAGGGTTCCGAAAATAGAAAGGCGCATAAAATGGTGTTTATCGAACCAGATTTATTCATCTTTTACAGCTAGGCTATCCCAAGGGAGCCGGAAACCCTACCAGGATTTGTGGGTGTAATCTTAACAATATAAGATGCGCAAATAGCCGCCAACAGTTCGTTACCCAACAGAAAAAAAAACACTTTTCAGAGAATCCCTGTGATGATGACGTCATATCCGCTGTTGTTGATTTTTTTTTTACCAACGGGATGAAAGCTTCTTCACCAGTGCGATGTAATAAGTGTGTTAACCCCAAGGACGATTCTGTTGAAAGATTAACCTCATTTGGTCCCATTCTATGAGACTATCTTCGTCAGACTTTGAACTTCTCAACCGACTTTCGTAAGTATAAAGAGGTATTAGGTTGGTGCAAAAATAATGACGTAATAATGTCGTTTTTTGACGTATTTTTTAACGTCAAAAAACGACATTATTACGTCATTATTTTTGCACCAACCTAATATCTTGACCTCTTGGTGGACACATATCTGGTTTAAACGGGTCCTAAAGCACCTGGCAGCTCACAGGATCAGGGGATGTATGTCTAGGTTGGTATCACCTAGTTGTAATTTCGCCAGAATTATCGACCCAAGTCATTTGGCAAATATTCCAGTTTCTTAATACTTTGCTTAGCTTTTGGAACCATGAATTCAGATTTCTTTCAATTGATGCATAGCCCTTTCTTCTCGCTTTCTGTTGTGGTACGATCCACCTAATTTGCATAGTGGAGTACCGACCATATAAATATGGTTGGTACCGGGAAGAGAGGGAGGAATCAAGAGATTCAACCAGAGACTCTGTCCGACTGCGACTCAGTCAACACATTCTCCAGGAACGGTCTTACCAGGAATATACAAAAGACTATATGTAAATATTGTGTACACTTTCTTGTTTCAATACATTTTGTTCTAAGTACTTTTTGTGTTGCATAATTATTCCATGCATTAGTCAAGTTTCAACACTTTCCTTCACTATCTTCTGTAGGACGTATATAATTCCCTTTTTATGTCGGCTATCAACAGTGTATCCTCTGCATATATTCTCTTGTCAAGATTGTGGCTGTTATTAATGAATCCTGGCAGGACTTCTATTTCTCACAGAATCACCTCAATGTATTGGGTGAATAAGTCCGGTGAGAAGACACATTCTTGTCTTATTATTCTCGTATA